AGCTATTAATGTCTATAAAACTGAGCAAATCTCATTCAAATATGCTGCTGCTAAATCATTTAACATTCCTTATTCCACTCTAGTCTATAGACTAGTCGGTCGAGCTTCTCACGCGAATGTTCAACCAAACTGTCAAAAACTGACCTCTACAGAAGAAGAATCTCTAGTCCAATGGATAATATCCATGGATGAGAGAGGTCAGTCTTCTTGAATTGAAAACATACAAAATATGGTGGATTTACTACTTTCTACCCGAGTTGAATCTACTGTGGGAGAAAAACTGGTTCAAAGATTCAATACACGTTATAAGGAACTAAAGACTAGATTCTCACACAATTCAACTACGAGTGAGGTTTGTGTGAAGATCCTAAGATCATACAAGAGTGGTTTCAACAGGTGAAGAATATGATAGAGAGATATGGCATTGTGAATGAGGATATCTGCAACTTTGATGAGACTGGCTTTCAAAATGAGGGTTATATCAACAGCCAAGATGGTGTTACGGCTTCAATCTAGGCGCAGATGAACGCGTGTTAGATTGCCAACTAGGGAAGCTATTTCAACGAAATACTAAGGAGGAGTGGTTTGGGGGAAGATCTCAAAATATACTGCCAGCTCACCAGGCAAGTTCCGAAGCCCTATCCCTTTGCCCTAGTTTCCAATCTAGTAATAGCCTTTCCGCTGCGCGCCGTCACAGATGGTGACCGAGTCTGAGAAACATGGTCAGGCCAGCAGGAAATCAAGAATGAGTGACTGTTATTGAGAGCGTCAACTCAACTGGCTAAGAGATGCCAGCTGGCCATGCACAGATGCTGCTATCTTAGCAAAGGAAAAATAGGAATCTAAGAGCTGCAGCTCAAGCTCATACATTTGTAGCTCAGAATGAAGCTCTAACCGCTGAGAAAGAAATAGCTAGGGCTCAAGCAATTGATCAAGCTGTACAAAAGAGGGTAAAGAATTTGAATCAGCTATCTAGAAAGTGAGCTCCAACCACACTGCAGCAAGTGTAATATATTGATAATACTGCTAGAACATATCAACAGACTTAAGGAATAGATCTATATATTTAATATAAGAAATTCTAATTGATAGTTGCTTAATTTTGCAATTGACTAGATTTGAGGTGGGAGACTATTCACTCAATGATCTTATCCGCTCAGTGACTGATTACGTTAGTTATATCACATCTTTATAGTTAATACTTCTTTATGAAGATGGGATTTTATCTTTTTTTTTAATTTTTTTTTTTTTTTAATTTTATCTATTTATTTTAGATTTTTACTTCTAGCTAATTCAATTTAACTAAATTCTAATTCTAATCTTCAATTTTAATTTTAACTTAATCTATTTCTAATCTACTCTAAACTTGATGTTGAGAGCAGAGTGTATTTAAAAGATGATCAAAGTTGATGATAATGTTAAAAAACCATGTTTAGTTATTTTTGAAATCATATTCAATTGGAATTTCAGATAATATTACTGTGCGTAAAACTAACCATATAAGTTCTAGATAAAACAGAGAGACATGTTATTAGAGTATAGCTGTATTATTCACTAATATAATTTATAGCTCTCTTTTCATTTTTCTCAAGTCAATAATTGCTCTTTCTCTTTTATTTCAATTGCAAACTGGTTCTGAAGCTTGTATTTAGAAAGCTTCAGAGCCAGCTTTTTTAAACTGTAGTTATATTTGAATCAGCTGCTTTTCACTATCTGTTGATTGAACCTTGGCATGAGTTATGTAAAATTGTCCAAATTGAATATAATTAATGCACTACTGTCCTCAAGTGATAATATTAAAGAATGTGGATAAGAATGGTGTTTATAGATTAACCAAGACCAGCCAAGAGATATGGGGAAGAATATTATGTAGATCACTATTTTTAATATTACACTATGCATATAAAAGATTGTAAAGGAACAAAGGCCCTGTAGCTATATTAGAGGACACCTGAGAAAAAGATGCTGTACACAGAACAATATCCAATAATGCCTGGAGTCATAGCTGTGTGAAGACAAGCCCATGCGTTTGTTAGAAAGGACGGCGAAGAGATTCTTCTAAATTCTCTCCCCCTTTTACCACTTGCAGCATCATCCTATCTTATCTAGATCTGGAGCCCGGCGACAACGGCAACGAAAAGAGCGAGAGCAGCAACGCCGGGTCTCTGACAGCCAGCAGCAGAGCCGAGGAATGATTGGGGAGCAGTAGACTGCGGAGGCTGGGTGGCCGATGTGGTTGGAGTTGAGTCTGTGCTGGTGGTTGGTGCTGGAGACACTGTGTTGGATGTGGTGGGTGCGGAGGTGGGGACTGGAGATGGCACTGTGGATGTAGTGAGGGTTGTGGTTGGAAGTGGGGGTTGAGTCTCGGTTGTGGTTGGAACTGAGGGTTGAGTTTCGGTTGTGGTTTGAACTGGGGGTTGAGTTTCGGTTGTGGTTTGAACTGGGGGTTGAGTCTCAGTTGTGGTTGGCATTGGCTGCGTTTCCGATTCAGTTGGAATTGGGGTGAGTTCTGAATGAAAGGTTGCATTTGGGTGCGACTCTGATGTAGAATTGGGAATGGTGCGACTCTGATGAAAAGGTGGCATTGGGGCGTTTTCAGACACGGTTGGCATTGGGAGAGTTTTCCAAATCGGTGGGTATTGGGTGCGTTCTGATGTAAAGGTGGCATTTGCTCGCGCTCCTAAGGTAAAGGTAGTATTTGGTTGTTTTTCCTTAT